TCTATATATATATATATATATACTTCGTTCGATGTGTAGCGAGGGTTTCACGCGTTTGAATGTAAATAGAAGAAAAAAGAAAAGAAATATGAAAAGAGGAAGAAAAAGAACTATCATTAGAAGGAGAATTTAAGAAGTTTTCATTATTGTTGCTATTACATTAGTGTCCTCCATTTCCGAAATTCTTCCATATTTTCTTCATTTCATTTTTCTGACATTCTTTGTTGTGACAACAACTCTGACAGATATTATCATTATCATTATTATTATTATTATTTTTTCTTTGGATTTTATCCATCAATCTCTATCTCTCTTTTTTTTTCTGAATGCGTGTTATTATTATTTTCGTGTTCCTTGTTTTTTCTTTTCTTTTCTTGTAGTTTCTGTATTGAAGAGAACAAGCTGAATTGTACAAGTAAGCTTTCTTCTTGTTACTACTACTACTACTACTACTACTACTACTACTACTTTATTGGTGTACTAACATTACTCTCACACATCACATGTCTCATTCTATTCATGGAATAACAGTCCCACCAAACACGACTCGTACACCCACAGCCTTCACTGCTCAACTGCAGGAACGCACAGAAGACCATAAACTCTCCAGGACTGCTGGTTTAACAGAAAACAAATACCGTAATAGGACTAGTATTAATAAGAATGATAATAATAATAATAACAACAGTATTAATACGACAGTGTATTGTTGCGGGGCAGTCAAGGGGGTAGATGAGCAAAATGGCCACAAGAAAGATGTATTGTCATTAGAGGCGGAAGTCCATCGTCTAAAGGCAGAGAATGAAAAACTGCGGGTGGTGGAGGAACAGTTCTGGGCACTACTGCGGGAGAATGAATCCTTAAAAACTGCACATGCAGCTGAAGAGAAGAGAACACCAACAACAACAACAACAACAATAATTAGTAATAGTAATAGTAATAGTAGAAGAAGAAGAGGAATAATAAAAGAAAAAATGGAAGAGGGAGAAGTTAACGATAGAGAGGAGGAGGATGCCTGGCGAAGATCCTCCTGTGTTCGTGCACTGCGTGAGTGCATGGATCTTCTTCTCTCGCGCGAGTTGAGGGATGAAGTGCCGGGCAGTTGTGATGATGTGCGGCAGCAGCAACTCCAGCGGGGGGATTCCGTCGCCACGTATTTACTTTGGCTCCGGGCCAAACAGCGGAGAGAGCAGCCGCACACACACACTATCGATATTAACAGGAATACATCTAAACACACCAATGGAGATGACGAGGAGATTCTTCCATCATTAACAACACTACCACAGAAGCAAGAAAGAGAAAAAGAAGAGAAAGAAGGAATGGAATATAAACTTGCAATCATGGAAAATGAGTTGCGTGAGACACGTGAAATGCTTGAATTAACAAATGCGAGTCGTGTGGCTGCACTGGAAGACACAGCTCGAATGAGTGCACAGGTAAGCACATTGAAAGCACATCTGCAGCAGCTCTTAAATACAAACATGCCCAATCCTCGTAATGTTGAGATGCTGCGGAGCGAAAATGATGAACTCCTCCGCACTGTAGAGAAGCAATCTCGAGATATTATGCTTCGCGATCAGCTCCTTGCGGATATGCGAGTTACACTGCAGCAAATGCGGGATGCCAGGTCTGCAGCGGAGGTATCACTCGCTGAAGAAGTTAAACGGGCAAGAGAGGGACTTCTTCTTCGTCGTGGCACTACATCCTTTGGCTCTGTTGCTGGTACAAGTGCTCCATGCTAGTTATTTATTTATTTTATTTTTTATTTTTTTGGGGTTATATATATATATATATATATACATATATGTATATATATATTTCTTGTATTATATAGACTTTTTTTTTCGTTTTTATTTTTTTTGTACATTATTGCCTTTATTATTATTATTATTATTATTATTATTATTATTATTATTATTGCTCTCTGAAAGTTTTATTTTTATATATTATACTATATATGTATATTTTATACTGTGTCTTTTTTCTATTTTCTATTTCTTTATCAATGCTTACTTTTTTTCCTATTCTTCTCCTTTATTTTGTATGTATGTGTGTAGTAATGTCAACTGTGCCGCTGAGCCGCCATGTTGTCTCGCGGTGTGTTGTGCCCCATCATCGTGGCGGTACTTTACTGCGGAGTTTACATTCCACTGCCTTGTGTGGAACTGTAATGAGTACTAATACCGCAGTTTCTACATCCTCCGTTCGTATGAGTATGATGAGTAGATGTATGTATCAGGGAAGACGCTTCTTGGTGGTTCCGCACACAGCAGCACATCCTCAGTCTTTGGAGAATAGTGACAACACCCATCACACTCAACGTGTTGGGAGGAATAATAACGGTAGTATTGGTAGTAGTGTTAGTAAGAATATTATTAATAATACTACTACTACTACTACTAATACTACTACTAATAATAATATTAGTAATATTAGTACTAGTAATAATAGTAAGAAGAACATCGACAGTAACGACAACAGTGAAAGTAATAAGAATAGCAGTAGCAGCAGCATCAAGAACAATACTGACATTTCAAAGAAACTGTCCACTATGGGATTTTCACAGTGTAAAAGAAAATTTACGTGGAAAGACTCGGAAACGAAACCTGGTGTTGTACGTCTTGTCTCTTCTCAAGAGATGAGTTTTTTACTTCGTCTTCGTTTCTTTGGAATGCCACAGGGATATCCGAATACTTGTGCAGTGGGATTTCGTCGTTACTTTCTTCTTTCAATGTGTAGTAGTTCCATGTCAAGTTTTTCCTCCTCTATTGGTTATCAGTCAATTTTGAACGGTTTCTTTCTTGGGTCATCACCGCAGCTATGGATGATGAAGGATCTTTTACCAGCGCTTGCTGCTGCATATATGGCCAATCGTATTATATCATATGAGAATCGACCCAAATTTTGGTTTCTTATGAGTGTAGTAATGCACAATCTTTCTGTACTTGCTGAGATGGTTATTCCATCTTTAGTTCCACATCATCTTCTTATTACTGCAGTCGTTACATCATGTATGCGACAATCAGCATCTCTTATGTTTTTAGTTACTCGTGCCTGTGCGTTACAACACTTCGCTGTAAGTAATAATTTAGCAGAACTTACAAAGAAGTTTAATTCTTTCGGAATGGTGATTTATACCATATTTACTGCCCTTGGTATTGCATACACCTCCGTTGTGACGTCTCTATCTGCACAACTTCTCACAGTTTTATTCTGTTGCGGTTTAAATTTAGTAATTTCATACATGTCTATGAGTAATATTGCATTTCGGGTTCTCAACATCACTACTCTCTCTGTAGTATTGCGTGAGTATGTGGGAAAATGCGGAAAACACAGCCGGCGAATTCCCACACCAGAGGAGGTCAGTCGTCTTATTGGTGTTTCCATGGTTGATAGAGGTGCGGTAACCACCTGTAATGATCGTACATGTCTATTGTATGTTAGTCCACCGGTGTGTAAACTCCGTATTCGTGCCGATCGGCTTAACGAGGATGTGGTGTATGTGTGTAAATCAGAAATGTTTTTATTAGCGCTTTGGGAGCCGCTCGGGCCGCTCTCACTGCGGGAGAGTTGGTTGCGTTGGGAGGCTCCGCACATGTGGCGGCGGCTCTTCGCACGGTCCTCAGCAGCGAGAAGAGAAGCACGCATTCGTGAGAAGTTTCGTAAACGGCTGGTGTTGCTGGTCCATCAAGACTGTGATCAGCTGCATCTGCTGACAGCGTACCTTCTCGCCTACACAGCACTATTGTATCATTCAAATACAGTGTCGGAGCTTTGTAGTTTTCTCCGCAGTTGTCATAATGAACAGGCGTTGTGGTTACATTACGCGAGAGAGTTGAGAGACTCGCTTCATCACGTGGGTTGGGATGTGGAGCAACTCTCATTAGATCCGCCAGACTTTCGCCTGTCAAACCTTCACTTTGCAAGGGGTTTGCCGTTTGCAGCAGCAAAGGATCAAGGTTTAAAGTGAGTGTTTGATGTGAAATAAATAAGTGAAAAAAGGTATTTATTCGACATTTCAATCTATCGGCAATCAAAGGCACCAGAAGCCTTTTTTTTTGGCTGAGAATTTGTGCCATTCTCTTTTTTTTTTGTTTTTGTAAGTATTTCTCTCTCTGTTACTCTCTAGTTTTTATATATTTATCTCAATGATTCGATGGTTGTGGTTGGTGCTTTCCTTTTCACTTTGCATGCCTTTATTAAAGAGTTTTATTTAGATCTGTGAATAAGAATAAACTCAATGGTAAGCATCACGTTAACCGTTTTTTTTTTTTCTGTGCTTTTTTTTTCTTTTATTATATGTCTCCGTATATTGTGCTGCTGTATTGTCTTTTTTTTTTTGTTTGTACAACTCAACTATCTTGGGTTAGCAACAAAAAAAAAAAAGGAAAGTAGTGTCAGGAGTTAGGACTGTATGAAATCTTTTTCAGTCTCCATATATTAATTCACAGGTAGAGGAAGCTGAAAGGAAAGCTTTTGCATATATAAGGTTACAACATACACATCTACAGGGTCAAATATGTCAATATGATTTTTCCAATATAATTATATACTTTTATGTATGTGTATCTATATTTAGTATAAGTCGTGTATCACTTTCCTTTGTTTTTATCCCTATCATTCTAATGTGCGTTCCTCATTTACAGTGGATGTTGCATTTCACTGTTCGTTTTTTTTTTTTCTTTTCCCATACCTTCTTTATGTTCTCAGATCTACATGTTTGGTTATTTTTTTTTACCACTGAACGCATGTTATAATAATCTCACTGCTCTTATTATTGTTATTATTATGATTATTATTATTATTATTATTTCTTTTCCTTTCATGTGTGTACGTTTTTTTTTTTGTTTTTTGTTTTTCTTATTCAGTTCATTTTATCTTTATTTCCTTGCAATCCAATTCCCTATGTGTTTTTTTTTTTTTTTTTCAATGGCTTTCTTGTATTTTCTATTTAGGAGTAAGGGCTTAAAGTGAAGAAAAAAAAAAAAGGACAAGAATAACAATAAAGAGTAAGGAGGATACCAGGTTTGCTGTAACATCTTTTTTTTCTTGTTTTTGTGCTCATTAAAAAAAAAAAAAAAGGCATGGCGTTGGTTTCGAGGAGTTTTGCAGAATACTACCGCGAACTCGTCGCGCGGGTGCCAACGACAGATGAATTACTGAAGCGTATCTGCCGAGAGGAGACGGGCGAGCGCAAGCGGATCGAGGAAGAATTGGATGCTGCCGTTTTGGATCTTTTACACGTTGTGGCTGTTATGATCACCGAACGAAAAGAGAAGGAACGCACCGTCGGGCGGCTCGCCTCGTATGATAAACACACACTTATGGTGATGGATCAGGAGACCGCAGTGTGGTTGCCTCCAATACCCCCACGCAGTGTGGTGCCGCTGAAGCGTCGCTTGTATCCAGGCTTTCCAAAGACAAAGTATAATGAGTTGGTGCAGGAGGAGCAGGAACTTCGAAACTGGTTGATTGGTGTGGAGGCACGTCTTCGTGAGCCAATTGAGAAGGCATGTTCATATTCGTGGTTTTTGATCGTTTGTTTGCAGCAATGTGCGGAACGTGAAGCTGGCGGTCGTTCACGTCTGGAACGGGAAGAGGAGGAGGAGCGTCTTCTTATTCGCCGTAATGTATTTCGTTTGGCACCATCTGATTACTTTCGCCATCTCTGGATGGAACGCTATGGGGTGAAATCAGCCCATGGGAGAGAGAAGACACTGGAGGAGCTGTGGCAGGAATCGCGTGAAATCATTGAGCAAGATGAACAAGAAGACTGGCGTTGTATGCTGCGATGGCTCTTTGACATGTATGGTGTCCGCCTCTTCTCTGTGGCCCGCAGAGAAGTTTCCAGACGATGTGAGATTGAGGAAGAAGAGAATGCGGAGCTTCTCAAACTCCTTCTCGCAGTCTCACGCTCTACATTTGGTGCTCACTTGAAGCATGTTGGTGCTGTGGCGTGGCACTTGGGCAGCAATATTCCCATGCTGCGTGATATCACTCAACAGGCAGCAGGATTTCAGTCGTGGGAAGCTAATGCAACGGCGTGGAAAAATGTTGTCTGTCTACACGATGATTCTGAGATGCAGTCATGTGATGAGGATGAGGATGCCCAAGTAGAGAAGAAGGAAGATCATAAAAAAAACGACGAATCGCAAACTGCTGCCCAAGAATTGGAATCAGCGCAGTCGAAAAAGGAGGAACAAGTTCTCCACGCCTCGACGGGAAAGTCATCGGTTAGTGATGATGCACCCACAACCACAAACGCTAATACCATGAACGGTACGACCCAGTGTACGGAATGGGAAAATGGTACTGCCTCTCCAGACATTGAGAGAGTTCAGAATCCCATAGTGGAGGAAGCTCCAGATAATGAAAAGGTGCAGGAGAAAACCTCACCTATTCACGCTTCCTCTGAAGATGTATCGAACGCTGGTACAGCTGTCACTCCAGCAAGTATACCTGAGACTACAAACATGCAAGATTCTGCTCAGAACCAACATCCTCAAGAGTCTGAAAAGGAAGAACAGAAGTCTGAGCCTCCACAGGAGTCTGCGCCTGCTGAACAGCAAGAGGAGTATACACAGGAATTGGATAAGGAGGAGCAGAAGTCTGAGCCTCCACAGGGGTCTGAAAAGGAGGAGCAGAAGTCTGAGCCTCCACAGGAGTCTGCGCCTGCTGAACAGCAAGAGGAGTATCCACAGGAGTCTGAAAAGGAGGAGCAGAAGTCTGAGCCTCCACAGGGGTCTGAAAAGGAGGAGCAGAAGTCTGAACATCCACAGGAGTCTGCGCCTGCTGAGCAGCAAGAGGAATATCCACAGGAGTCTGAAAAGGAGGAGCAGAAGTCTGAGCCTCCACAGGGGTCTGAAAAGGAAGAACAGAAGTCTGAACCTCC